TGTGTGTATTCAAAAAACAAGCAGATGACCCTGTGTACAATCATCTGTTACGCACAGCAGGGAACACTCAAGCACAACGACCTATTTCTGTACCACGAATGTCTGTGGTGACACGACTATACTTAAAGGCTGATAGCACTACGGCTGCCATAGCATGGACCGGCCTGGCTCAGTCGGCCAGTGCTGGGAGCCAGCCATTTGATGTAATGCCTAACGGCGATACCGGGCATAAAATTCAAAACATGGAGGCTCAGCCAGCCCGCCAGCGGTGTTTAAATGGCTGCCCGCCAAATCATCGCAGGTATGATTTTTTTATTCGCATAATTTCGAAGAATTCCATCGGGCTTCAAACGAAGCAAAAATAGCAAAGTATCTATTGTTATTGTATTAGGGCACCTGTATTAGTAATGGTGTCTGTAAGAAGCCAAATTAGGATCTGCAGAATGGATATAATGTTGCGTCTTTATATTACGCTACTGGTTAGTCGATTGGAAAAGTGGGTCGTACGCAAACTTCTATGGAGCAGGTAAAAGTGTATTGAAGGACAGAGCAATAATCTTGAACGTAGAGTTGTCTTTTATGCAGTCATATTGAAAAGCCAGCTTTAACTAACTGCATCATAATTTAGTGCACTTTTTTTATTTAGTACATTAGAAAAGCTACATTCAAAGGTAGGTAACAGTAATTGCTTGGCAAATATATCACCCAAGCGGCTTTTTTTTCGCGCGTTGAAACATTTTTAAAGGATCGAGTTTTTGCTTAAACAAACCTAAAATACCGACGACACTGACGGGGTTGTCTGTCATGTGTTTTTTGTACAATAGTGGAACCTGGGTATCAACCGAAGTCTATATCAGTTTAGTTGGAATAAACCTTTCACTCACCAAAAATATTCCTTTTTTGGCTCTATTTTAAGTATCTTCAGTTCCTCGCGATGCTATTATTTTCCCATATCGAAGCACCATATTTTAATAATGGAATCACGGAAGTGCTAAGCAGGCCTGTATATACTTTCGTTTGTGTGTAACATAAGGCCCCAAAAGTCCCAGTTTTTTTCAGCGATAAGTTCGCGGCATTACTTTCCACGTGCTCTCTGCACTTTAAAAAAAAGTGGTACATAGTAATTAAACCCTAAACAATGGCCCAAAAACTCGTCTTGCAGACACAGAATGTAATGTAAGAACGCAAATACATAGTATTGATTAAATTCTATATTCTGTCAAAGTACACACGTATAAAGGCTCGCTCGAGACCAACCTTGGCGGCTAATTCACCCTCTGCGAAATTACGTTATGTTTGAAAAAGGATAATTGAATTTATGTAGGCCACCCGTCAGGCTCTAAAGGATTATGACTTATGTACTATAAATTAAGTTTGTTCTAAGAAAAAAGGAGACTTGTGCCAGCTCTACTGGTTCGGATATAATAGAAATACTTTTGAGGGCAGACATCGCTGAGCTTACTTCTATTCACGTAAAAATGATGTGCGATAGTCTTGTTTCTACTTAACGATACGGTGCCCAGTCATTACCGTTGTGTCGTTGTGGTGATGCCTTACAAATCTATAAATGTTTGCCCAAAGACGTGAGCTATGTTAATCGAAGGCAGGCGATTTCGGTCAGGTTTTCTTCGCAACCTCTGATTAGGTATCCCATATTGGTAATGACTCAGCTAATGGTCAGCCCCATAATCACGGCGTCAATACGCTTCGTATTTCTGATTGCAACATCTATAATCTTCTCACAGCATAATATAGCCAAGATATATATAGGGTTGAACGATAGTGCTACTACCATTATCAATTAAAGTAGACTGCACACCCTTGTGTGGACATTTGTTTTTAGAGATAGATTCTAAGTTACTCTGTGTCTATTGTGTTGAATAGATATTGTTGTTCTTACGTCCGATGCTGTTGCTAGACACTGCTTAAGACGGCTGGCTCCCAGCATAAAACATATTGTTTCTACACCGGATTCGAACGTAAAGTTCCTGTCCAATAGGCAATCACGTTACCACTGCGTCATCACAGACACGGGTGTCAACCACCTGCATTAGTAACAAGCTTCTTCGTGCACCGGAAGATGTCGTTTTGATCTCGTCTTTAACTCAACACTGCGGAGAGCGCAAGCCAGCTCTTCTTCGGAAGTCCTTCAGAAGCTACGTGAGAGTTGGTAATCTTTTTTCATTTTAAAATTGAGTAATATGAAGTACCCGACTTTTCTTAATATCCTTATTAGTTAAGTTTAGATTTTTGGTTGGCTAGTGAGCAGCAGCTGAAATCTTGGAAATAAAAAAAGAAAAATCGAGCTAGACTCTCATCGCAAAACTACGTAGTTTTAGGGTTGATAAACACAGAGACTAGCTCTAGAAATAATCTAGGCCGAAACTTTTGCGTCGTAGTGAGACGGTTTGAATATAGAGTGCGATGAGTACAGAAACACTGGTCCGTGTGTTCTTCTAACAGTAAAAAGAAAAGTACATTAGATCTTTCAGAAAGGCTCTCTTGCCTAACAGAAGAATGCCTCTAAAGACGCAAAGTAGGGCTCTGTGAAATAGGACCGCAGGCCTTCCAGTGAAATGTGACAACAACCTGATCTATTTTATAGTGGACGACAGCCTACTTGATCAAGCGAGGTAAGACAAAGGAGAATTATAGTCCAGAGGCCCATTAACGGCTGCAGTAGTAACCTTATTTCTATTTAATCTGGAAAGTATCTTGATAGTTTACATACATGCTGCATATTCCATCAAAGCTTTAAACTTCTGAAAATAGACTGATCGATATGAATTTAAATGAAAAGAGTAAATAACCAGATACAGGGCGTGCAGATACAAATAACTCACAACAAAGAGGCTAACTCTTGTAAACGAACGACCATAAGGCCAATCGACATAGGCTCTTCCGAAATTCTACATGCTATTTATATAGTACATAGGCATATCGCCTTTCTGGCTCAAGAGATACTTAGGCCTTTTATTTAAACACTAGTTGTAGCATGTTTCCTCCATATTTACAGATTTATATTATTATAGCGTGTATCATTGTTAACAGTAACTAAATACATGACACTTACAAACAGTTAGAGGGCGTGTCTAATTTACGTTTCGCTGGAGTTTCTTTCCAACTTAAAGCAAGCGCTACCCTTGCACAGGTTTTTCTTATCCTTCGAACGTTTTTTTTAGTGTATCGGAACTTTGTGTCATGTTCGAGGCAACTAAGCTGAAATCTACTAAAATTCACATTATCTACTATTGGCGAAATCCGGTGAGATGGATCTGTGTTTTGAAATTAAAATAAGCCTGTAGGTTATCTATCGGGTATCTAATATGGTCTTATAAAATTATTTTTTGTTAGCAATTTAAGCACACAGTTTCATTTTGATTTCCTGTGAGAGCCGAGGAGGAGCCAGCGAAGCAGTTCGAATAAAAATATAAACTTACGCTTTATTCCGTAACTTCCAACGATATCGTATCAGCATGGGCAGTAATGATCAATTTATTACTTGATTTCCAGCTAATATTAGTAATTTTCACAGAAACGATACAAAATATGGTCATGTCCGTACAACTATAATATTTATATGAGACTTTTTACATTCCTTCAGTCATCATATTCAGTATCACTACTATCAGTAGGATCGTTTAAGGGAAGCGAAGTTCACTATAGGAACTGTTGTTTTTCGACCCGGTTCCTTGCCGGTTTTTCTGCCAGCATTTCTAGTAGCGGGCATGAACTTTTGGTAACTAGTTTGACATTTTATAGTTAAACAAGTGTTACGGCCAAAGGCAAAGTAAAGCTAGGAAAATCAGCTTAAGTTAACAGCTAATGCGTGGTATGTAACTCTGCTCTATTGCTATAGCAGTTAAGGACGCAAAGCTAAAGACATCTTTTCGTAATAGGTATATACTATCAGTCAACTATGTAGCTCACACATGTTTGCAACTCTATCGGAAAATTATTTGACTACTGGAAATAATCTTATTTTAGCATCGTAAACACGGATTGAAATATACCTACCTAGATATAACAACATATCGGCTAAAACAAGGTGCATCCGTAACAATGCTATATTTTCCATTGACAGACTTTTTCCTAGGAAACGTTTTTAGCAATAGCTCACTGAATTCACAGCCTGTCACCTACACAACAGAAACTAGTCCTTCTTGCTTGGCAGAACAGGGCTATATTATTTTTTAGGAGTAAGGAAAACTCTGAAGATCATGGCCAATGAATCCTCAGACAGCTTCTAAATTCCGGCTTGAATTCATTTACCCAGCTGGCACGTGACCGTCCCGAACTGGTATCTACCACATGTTCTTTACCGTTACGCTCAGTTGGTGCGAACGTTTGTTGTTACGCAGGTTATAATATCATGGCCATATTTCAGCACATCTAATATTTTGCTTACAGACATTGGCAGTTAATTAGCGATGAGAAATCGCCTTTCGGACTTCTCCTTGTTTGTTCCTAAGTGAGATGATAAGTAATGAGGACGGATCTTTGAAGCTGGGCCGCGTTTTAATTACGTAACGGAATTGCTTGTGACCGTTAAAGTGAAAAAATTCAAAAAAATAAATCAAGCAACAGGGCATAAATGTGCTTCGAAAAAACCGACAGTATCTGAATTACCGTTGCAGAACTCTCGTTAGAGAGAATAATTTGTCGAGCTAAATAGCTATAATACAATCAGCATATATCGATACAATAATAAAGGCATAAGGCGCCTTATACACTACTTAGGCTCTGAGGCCTTTATGAATATCTTAGACAACAGCGTCTTCGAATCTCCGTATTATGCGATATGCCTATGCAGCTATCAGCTTTATTGTGCTTAAAGGACGCTTCGGTTCACCTTTTGATGCGTTTTAGGTTTCTCGACCAGAGAGTAAGTACCTACTGCTGTACCATCACCACCACGAAGATGACGACGAGTCGGCAGATGGCCTGGTCGTCTGGTGGGCGTCTGTCAGGAGAAGGCTGAAGAGGGAGGAGGGCAGAGGCGGCGGCACTCTCCTGGGGGAGGCACGTCTGCGGTCATAGCAGCAGCAGCAGCAGCTACTGCCAGCAGCTGCAATTACACAACCAAGCGCCCACTTTCGCCATTGAGGCCGTGGGCTGGAGGCCATCAGTTCCTCAGCATAAAAGGCCACGTTCGAGGCTAGTCGGTCTGTGATTCTTGTTCGTGCTCTTTCGTCTCGTGTGCGTTCTACTGCCAGAAAGCCAGGGAAAAAAGGACGAAATCCAATAACCACAAAGCTTAAGAACAAACGAACTTGATAACTATACTAGTGCGCACGGATCGGGAGGTCGTCTATCAAATCAGCGAAGAAATTTAATTCGCTTAATCGAGGTTACAACATTAGCACATTTCCGGTTGGCGACAAGGACGGATAGTTGCGACCACCTGTTGTTGTAGCTGCCAGGTGGCTAGATTATCCGGGACCTTACACGGTAAGTCAGGGAGATGCACGTGCTCCAACTTCTAGTAGTCAATAAACATTTACGCTAATCAACAACTGTTTTCCCATGCTATAGGAGCGGTGTAGAGTCGACGGCTTTGGTTGTTGCTACGCAGGTACCTACTGTTCTCGTGATGCAGGCAACAAAGGTGATGGATAATCAAAAGTATGATCAACTTTTATATGGTTATTTATAGGGATTGCTATATTTAGAATTAAGCTAATTAGTTTCGGGGATACCATTGTACAGGGTAACTAAGAAGTAGCCGTCCAATTAGAATCTCAGAGAGTAATAAAAAAAAAGAAGGGTTCTGCCTGCAAAGTTCTGTCTGCACTTTTAATTACCTCTTACAGCTCTTGAACCTAACAAGGCATGTAGGCTGAGAGAAAATTAAACGAGATATCGGGATCAAACGTGCGCAAAACACTTTGCTTACTTGTTGAATATTCAATGACAAAATGGCTTCCTGATCAAAGATTTTATGTGATAAAAAAAATTCTGGCAAATCGCAATACATACGATTTCGTCTGCTAAGACTGATACTTGTAAACTTATTTTTTTCCTTAAGTGGCTCATCGCACGTAGCACCGAACAAAGTCTTATTTAACGACTTACCAAGTTTGTAGGGACTATTTTACTTTCGAGACCTTTAAGCATTAGGTAAATTTTTCTTGCATTTCGTGCACATGAAAACGGCGGTGTATAGCAGCTATACTCGTCGAAGTGGTTATACTACGGTCTTTAAAATGTCTGCTAAGCTCTTTGCTGTGCTCGTTTCGATAGGACCGTTCGCGGCGGGTTCACGGGAAGTGGCTTCAAAGCTGGATATGAACGTTGTTGTCTGATAATCTTTTTAGAAGTAGCACTTTAGTCGAAATCGTTTATCTATTTTTCTTTATTAGAATAGAGTCTCAGTCAATTTGTGCACCGCTTAGTTTGTTTACGTTCACTTTGGGAAGTTTGCTATAGTAGCTCCCCGCTGTCCAATTTAGTCAATATGAAATAGAAAGTATTCGTGTTTGAAAAAGCCTAACGAGACGTTGTTAACTTCAGCGTGTCGGTGGTGAAGGTGCCAATATCTGATGAGAATTTCTCATGCAAGAAAAACGTCCCATGTTAGATGGTAATGCGTTATAAGAATTTTTTCTTTTCTTTTTTTTTTTTTGATCAGATGCAATACGGCTACGAAAGCGCAATAATGCTTTATCGTAAATAGGAGATAAACTCATAGCTACATAGTTGGTACAATTTGAGCTGTACTTTGCCCGAGTCAAAGCATAAATCTCAAATAACGCAATACGAAGCAACAATTACCTATCTAGCAACGACGATGCGTTCCGCACAGAATTTTCTTATCTTGTCCATAGGGTACCAGTAGAAGCGTCTATCAGACTTTCATGTAGCACTATTCCACTTGTTACTGCGTAGTGCGTAAAAATAAGGCTTCAGCATAGACTCTAAACCATTTTCACCGCTACGATGAAATTACGTTCGATTACTGATATATTGCGATAACGGTTGCATATCTCCAGGGTCATCAGTGACGATGTCGATAACCGGCAATATAAACAGTATTATCCGATTGATGCCGTACGGCGCATATTCATTTGAGCGGAGACATAGACGGCGGTTCACGTGCGCTCGACGAGTGGATTTCGAAAAATACGGATTCGCTTATCGGAGTATTCGATGTACCGCCGCGTTTTGCGAAACTGAAAACATCGATCGTTTCATATTTACAGCTCTTAATCTTACCCTTCGCATAGTTCGTCTTAACTACTTGCTATTGGGGGGATAATATAAACAGAAATATTTATTCTTGAGAGAAGATTACTATGACGCGAGCGCACTTCAAAGGCTGTTGGCAGCCTGCTAGAGACTGATATACCAAATCGTCATTTTGCTTGCCACGCATCGACGACTGCGCTGTACATAGAAAATAATAGGCTAAATCTAAACGAACTTTACTTGTTCTTCCGTTTTGGCTCAAGTTATTTATCTAGAAATTGATTGTGTCGAGTCTGCTTGACAGTTTATGGCTAGACAGTTAGCCGCAAAGAGTTTCCATCCGTATCTCGAACTATAGAAACTAGTGCAAGCCAAATTACGTATAACTATAATTACATACTACCTACGAGCTTACGTGGAATTTACCCGTCGACTAATCTCATTTGCTGCATATGAATGAGACCGCGCATACAGCCACCGTCACTGAACAATTGTTCGAACTAATATATATATCAGTATCACTTTCTTAAAATACTGTAAAAAAAAACAGGCAAGTAATAAAGCTTTTTGATAAGCTCGGGCCTTTTTCGAACGTAACTCGTGTATTCTGAATTGATAGAATAATGCATATTTGGCCATTTTGATCCGGGGCTGTCTATTAGTATACTGTACTGCTCGCCAGGCCCCAGAGTATACAACAGAGTTGATGAGATCATAGTATATACAAAGATTTTAGTACCGAGAATAATAGGTGAGTCCCTCGCTCAATGCTACCTATGACAAAGCAAAATGGCTGTTTCGAATAAGCCACTCTAACGGCCCCCCATGATCACAATACTGTGAACAAGTACTATGAAGGTTGGTTACATTCATCCTAATTGTGTAAAGCAACATACCATAAATTAGTAATGATTTCAATCAGTAACGATTCATTATTACGCACCCACAGCGTCGAACGGACAAGCACGTAGACCCAATTTCAGCGGCTGGTTAAGGGGCAATAATTTTCAATGTATTCAAGTGTTTAATTAGCTCGGCCTAGAATTACGTTTCGCTACTCTTTCAATATAGCATATTCAAAATTCGTATCATTGTGGTACTGCTAGCAAGCACAGAGTTGTCGATAGTGAAGGTTTCTGTTGCGACAAAGGACATTCAGTCAACAAACTAAATTCAGCAACCTAACTAGGCTTATCGAATGTCCAAAGGAAAGCCTTTCAAGTATACTCAAGTTATCAAAGTTGCAGCGGTAGCGGCGGGGCCGGCAGCGGATACACTGCACGGTCTTGCGCCCACACGAACTTAAAAAAGCCGTTCAGAGGGTGTGCAATTTCAAATCCGAGAACACCCCGTAACCCTTGGGCGCTTTTGTCGTTATAGATCATTGCTGTTCGCCCGGGAACAGAAGCTGCCTCATAGAGCGTATCGACTATTGCGAACCTCAGTAGTGTAAAGTTACCCCCCTTTATAGGTGAAAGTAGATGGCGGTACAAATTTTCTTGACTCCTACTTCATTCTGCGCCCCAGGTATCTTCGAGTTCTCTAGCAGATTAGATATCTCTGAGCAAACTAATTCATTTCTGAATAGCAATATAAATCGTACAAATATTATACCTTGCGCGGCCTGTCAATTCCGCATTATTCGAAACATCCACAGATATTCAAACGTATTCAATAATAATAATAAACTGATACAAACCCGTAATTCTTCTCTATCAAAAATTCCATAGCATCGAACGGTACGAGGTTCAACTAACCTAACCTTGCCGCAAATCATTCGATGCTCTGGAGAAGAGTCAGCTTACTCTTCTTTAGTAAAAACAGATACTTCCAGAAAAGTCTACCAAGTTTAATATGCCATTGTCGACGTGACCAACGGCATTTTTTGGCACCGACTCATCATAGCCTTTCGAGTCAATATTGTCTTAACTAATGGTGATGTATCAGTAAAACGGAAGATTGCGGCGTCCAGTCGGTGGCGTCTGCTGCGGCACAGAAATACAAAAGGTTTCGTAATTCATCGCCCACTTTCGTCCGTCTCTTCTCACATGTTAAAATATCGCCCTAACAAAGCTAACACTCGCCATAGCGTCGGCGTTCCCGCACAACCGTGTAGAAATCCGTATGCATTTTTCGACGCCGTTAACCTTCCTAATACCAACGAGCATGTTTTCCTCAATACGTGTGACTACTATAATGTTCGTAAAAAGTGAATACGTCTGGTTACGTCATCGTCAAGTGCCATGGTTCTGCGCGCACGTACCTTTGCGGTTTGTGGTCAAGCAAACGATTTTTCAGTCTCGTGGTGGCCAATGCTGGTGGCAGCAGGCGTCTTGAATCGATTGAACTATGATCATATCTGTGAGTTTAAACACTGTCTTGGAAGCTGTGCAATCAGTTTAGCAATATCTACGCCAGGTAACCCAAGAGTACGCGGTAGTTAGTTATCACGGCCTGTCTAAGCCCAATATGGCACACGATGGTGGGAGTGGGATATGGGCAGGAAAAGAATGACTATTTCTAGGTATCCTATGTAGCCTCAACTGAAGCGGCGGTTCGCCCCTTGAAAAACCTGAGGAAGGAAAGCCATTGGTGCAAGACACTCTCAATGCTAAAAGTAAATTTCGCTCTAGGTCCAAGGCACTTTAGCTATACGACTCCACCAACCTCGTCACATATATCTCCTCGGTTTTTCTTTCTTTTCATTGTATCGAACACTGCTCCCCCGCTTGGTTTCCGATTAGTCCAAGTATCTATTTTAGCGCTTTTGGTGGGTCAACATGCCAGCCGACCATCGATCAGCTTGATTGCGATTATCACCCACAGAGTTGGGCAGTATGTCGTACTTTTCGGCGCTGTCATACGTAGAGTGTTGCCTGAGTTGAACACTGCAAATCTTCGACCAAGATAAGTCTTCGAAGCTTATTAGCATAGGTCTAAAAGAATCTTACCTTTGTTTATAAATTATGCAATGTCAGAAGATATGACTAAATCTGTACCATAAACCATACTGATATGCAAAGCGAAAGCCTGTTTTTCCTAACTACAACATTTGCTTATTACAAAATAGCGGACCTATTATAGTTATTTCCATGGTAGACTTCCGTGTCTAATTATCTCCACTCGTGCTGGCCACGTGAATATTTTCAAACTATTTCGTACGTCGTAGGTTCTAAATACGGCAACAATTCACTACAAGGTCTATTCCTTATATAGGACATAGATTGCTAACGTGTCGTACAGTTATACTAGGCTTGTATATT